TGGTGACCGTGACTGCACCTTGCGAGACATGCGGCTCGAATTGCGTCGCAAGGAAATGCGACTTGCACATAGCTGGGACCCCCTGCGTAGCATGGTCTTGCGCGGGGAAAAGGGGGAGAGCGTCTGGCTGCACGTTATTGGGCTTCTTGTGTTGGGTATTCATGCGGTTGCATCTGAAGGAGCCCGCTGTCCTTCACGAAAACACAACCGAGTTCGACATTGGGATACTGGAGCGGTTCCTTTCGCATGAGTACGTTATCTTCACGTGCGTTGTAGCGGCGTCAGCCCTTGGTCAGCTCGCTGAACGGTCGCGCCGCTATACCTGGCTCGTGCACAGGAGCGTCCTGGACGCCGGCATCGCCCCGCCTCGTTGGAGGATGCCATGGGGGCAAGACTTTGTCAGCATGTTCAGGCGTTCTCTGGGGGCCGTCGATTGGCGGTCGCTCTTCACGCTTGCATCCGAAGATGAGTTGACAGAGGAAAAACAGTGGGCAATGAAGCGTAAGCATATGAGCGGCACGCCACCTAGCGACTTCATCGGCCTGTTGAGTCAGTTCGAGACGAACGTCTTGGAAGGGTACATGCAGGCTGGCCACGGCGCAGACGCTGTGTGCCTCCAGCAGTGGGAAGACGAACGGTCGACGAGCTCTGCGGGCCGGAAGTATATGCAGTGCATGACCAAACATTGCTTCCCCACTTGGAGTTGCCCCCAGGGTAGATGGCTTACTCCTATGGAGACGCTGTGCACTAACACTTTCGTCTGTTTCCCCGAACACTCCCAGCTCGGGGAAAGCTCGAGTTTCATGCGTGATCGGGGGGCGTTCGGGCTCCCAGAGCGCAACAGGCGCTACATCTTTGATCAGGCTGGGGATAGCATGAGCCTCCCGGCAGTCGGTTTGAGTTTGCTATGGGGGCTCTCGTGGATAGGGGACGTGCGATCCGCCGACTCTGTCGCTGGCCGCGACCGTGGTGGCGGCGGTGGCAGTGGCGACGTATTCCAGGGTTGCCGCATTTTGCAGACCCTCGCCGCTGCGCTCCAGAGCGAGCGGCCCTTTCCCGCTGAAGAGCCTAGCGCCACCGCCACCAGCGCCCCCGAGAGGAGGCAATACAGGAGGCTCAGGCGGAAAACGAATCCATGATATAGCTCGCGCAGCAGTCTAGCAAATTGCCAATTCGTAGCAGGGGAAGAAGAAAAATACCCAACTCGTGGCTCTCTTCCCGCCCCCATCCTTCGCCCCGGCCCATCGCTCCCCCAAGCGTTCCCTGGGGCCCGCTTCGGGCCCTTAAATCAGCCTGCCTCGGGCCCCGGGCCCCGGGCCGGCTCCGCGACTCGTAGATTCCTTCCCTGTCTCCTGGAAGCGTTAACAATGATGGGTTCTTGCTAGTCGCGTCGGGCCTAGCAAAATCACGTAGATCTTCACATGCAGTCATAGTGAGGGGGCCCGAACGGTCTGACAGTCTCCCTGCGTGCTCGGTGCCCCTCCCGCCCTCCCTTCCCCTACCACGGTCCCCTACCTCCCCCTTCCTCAACGGGGCGAAAACGCTGGTCGTGTTTCTCCTTCAACAGCTCGCCTCCAAGGGTCATGCATAGCTTTCTTAGGGCACGTGCGGGGTCCTCCAGATCCGCAGTCGGCAGCGCGTGGCCCGTGGCCTCCTGTGTGGTCTCCCGTGTGGCTCCCGTGTGCTCTCCCGTAGGCCCCTCTCCTATGGCCTCGCGTATCGGGGCGGGCTCGGAAGGAGTCTGGCGGGGCATGCAACGAGCTGCTCTTGTCCCAAGATTGCTGTCCGTTGGGGTCCTGGGGTCGCTGCTCCTCCCCCGTCTTCCGTTGCCGTTTTGGCTCAAGCCCTTGCGCGCCAGCGCCGACCTGAGGTTGAGGCCACCGCTTTCCCAAAGCTTTGTGGCAGCGCTGAGCTGAGCTGCCTGCGATGGCGGTGGACCCCCCCGTCGTGCCCGTTGAGAATGACTCACAAGAGGGGATGGCGTCCGGCGGCAGCAGGTCAGCCGCGGCCTCAGGAGAGAGCGCCGATTCGCTCGAACAGCAGCAGCAAGTGGCAGTGGCAGGGGCAGGTGACTCCGCAGAAGCGCTTGCGCTTCCTGGGACCGCTGAAAGGCGCATGAGCCTCAAGCAGCACGAGAAGGCCGATGGGTTCTGGTGGGCAAAGATCTTGGCCATGCGCAATGCAAGGCGCCGCGTGACCGTGATGTTGTTCAGGTCAACCGACACGAATCGCTCCCATCGCCTGCTGAAGCGCCACGCCCTCAACAATCGCGGGGTGGAGCGCAAGGTGGAGGAGTACGCCCAGGGCATCCTGGCGCACGGCCTGCTGGACGACATGCGCGGGTCGATCGTGTTGGTGCCGGCCGCGTCTGGGGCCGCGGACGAGTTCGATATAGTGGGCGGGGGGACGTTGTTCGATGCTATGTACAGGGCGATCGCTCGCAAGCCAAGCAACACACATTGCAAGCGCATCTTGGAGAACGGGGTGGACAATACTATTGTGTTGGACGACAAGACAACGAATGATGAGATATTTTGGATTAAACACATTCATAATCGGTTTCACGGGGGGCAAGGGGTCACGCTGGGAGAATGTTATCGGGTGGCCTTGGACTCGCAGAGAGATTGGACCGGTTGCGCCAAGGAGAACCAGATATTCGTCAGTACCTGCCCTCGCAGAGGCATCGTGCATCACATTGTCCTTCCCTTCTCCTTCGCTTCTCTTCCTCCTCTCGCCTCCCGCCCCCCTCCCCCGCCGGCCGCCTGCAGGGCCTTACACGTACCAGAAGCGGTTCGAGACCTTCATCTTGGACAGGTGCACGGCCCGCCATGGCGGCGGCCTCCGGGGGCCGGCCCGGGGGGAGGGGGGTTAGGTGTTCCATAAGGGCCAGGGCGTCACCTTCGCGGGCACCGAAGGTGACGCCGCTTGGAAGGGGGCGCCACGAGAGGCCACGAGGAGCCGACGCAGGGCCCCCGGATCCCCGCCCATCGAGCAGGCCCCGAACACCTCCAGGGAGAAACGACACAGGGGCGGTCACCAGATGGCAGCCCTTTGCACCGGAAGAGTTTTGATGTTTGGGGCCCAAAGTTTGGGGGCCCCGAGAAGGGGCCCAGGTGGCCCAAGAGGGCCCCCGATGTGAGTCGTTCGGGCCCCTCCCCCTTCAACAAAAAGAGGGCCGACACTTTCGGCCCATTATTTTTTTTTTTGGGGGGGGGGGGCCGAGCGACTCACCGAAACTGACCGCATTTTTTTGTTGTCCTCCTTCCCTTCTTCCTCATTCCCTCCTGCTCCTCTCCAGGTACGCAGACTATTTCTCGAAGTGGGACCACTACGACCATCTGAAGGTCGTTTGCAACAAGCTGGAGGCGGCCACCACCTGGGGATTGCCAAATCATTACGAGGAGTTCTGCTGCCTGATGGAGGAGAGGTGCGACTTCGGCAATGCCGGGCTCTCGATTGTGTGGGCGATCCACCACGCCTACAATTTGAAGACGGTTATATTCGGGGACTGCTTCGTCAAGAGCATTGGCGAGGACGCCCCCGGCTCCATCTCCCCCTCCGCCCCCCCCAATCCCTTGCGTGGATTGACCGACCGACCGACCTCCTACTCATCCTCCTCCTCCCTGGACGGCCTGAGGCAATTATGTTACGGCCGGCCCCTGGAAGGCCCTGAAGTGGTCGTGCAAAACAAAAAACATCCGCTTGCAAATCGGTCTGTCCGAGCTGGCGCTAGCCCCATCCACCTCCTCCCCATCCCTCCTCGCAGTCACGTCCGCGTCAATGTGAGTTATCCTCCTCCCATCTCCCTCCCTCCTCCTCGCCCAGCCCCCCCTCATCCTCCTCCTACTGCTGCAGCGCTCGTCTCTGAGTCTCTGAGGAGATGTGCCAGATGATCTTTTTCGAGGCGCTCAAGTTCACCGTGCCGCTGGGGACTGTGGCGGGGCAGGAGACTGTTTTGCTGCACCCCTTCATCCTCCGCCTCCTCTCCGCCGCCCCCTCCCTCCCCCGTCCGAGCCTTGCCCTGCTCGGCGCTGCCATCTCGGCGCTCGGCGCTCGCTGCGCGGCGGGCTCTTTCGAGCCCCGACGCCGCGCCGGCCGCCGCCGTCGTCGAGTCGTCGGCCGCAGCCGTCGTCGTCGTCGCCATGGTCAATGGCCTCTCGCCGTCGTCGTCGTCGTCGTCGTTCGACGTCGCCGTCGTCGCGAGTCGCGGTCGCGATCGTCGCCCTCGTCGACGTCGCCGCCGTCGCGCCGTCGCCGCCGCCAGATCGGACCATAGGTTCGGGGAAGCGTAAGACTCGAGTAAGCCAGAACTCGGGTTTGCCGATATGTTTTGACGAGCGCGTCCTGGATTTTGACGGTCCTGTTTTCGTGGGATGTCTGCAGCGGGAGTTCGCGTCAAATTTCAGATTGGGTCTCGTCATTTTTATGGTGGCCCTGTCAGACAGGCCAACCAACCCGAGTCCCCCGTACCCGAGTCTTACGTCTCCCCGATAGGTTCCGAATGGGGGGGAGGGGGTGTATAAACATTGTTCTCCATCTCCAGATCGAGCCAGAGACCCCCTGGTTGCTCCACGAGGACCATGGCGAAAATCGAGTGGCTGAAATGCCCCATGGCCGGCAGCGCCGTTTACAAGAAGCGCCCCGCGGCTGTGACCGGCGAGAAGAAGAAGCCGAAGAGAGGGACCGCGGCTTCGACTGAGGCCCAGCTGCAGGCAGCGGAGGACTTGGGCGGCCCAAGAGCTCCGCGGGGATTCGGAAGACCCGAGTAGAGAGGGCCCCGAAAGGCCAAGAGGGCCCCAAGAGGGGCCCATGGTCCAGGTGGGCCGTGGGCCGCAAGAGGGCCCCGAGACTGAAAAAACAAGCCGAGGACGGAGGCACGGTGGAGGAGTGGAGGCACGGTGGAGGAGTGGAGGAGCGGAGGCACGGTGGAGGAGTGGAGGAGGTGCCTCCCCTCCTCGCCCGAGCCCACCCCCCTCCTCCGACCTCCCCCCCCGCCGCAGGACGCAGAGTTGGCGAAGACGGCGCTGCAGGGTGGCGAGGCGAAGCTCTGGCTGCACGACCTCGCGCAGATGATCTCCGCTCCCACTAAAGCCCTCGTGGAAAGTGGCGGTGCGGAGCGCGACGACGGGATCCGTTCGAGCCAGGCCGATGCGATCCGGAAGTCCTTGATCATGCTGTGGTCGGGGGAGGTGGTGATCAACGGGAAGGGCCTGAGGGGATGGAGTAGCGCGCGGAGGGCGATCAAGAACGAGATCGTTCGCGCCAACATGAGTCTCCTCAAGAGGGCCTGCGGAGTCGACGAGGTAGATTCCATGGAGCCAGACGCCGTGGCCGACGCCATCATGGAGCACTTGGCATCCCGCCACGACGACGACGGCTCGATGGAGCCCCCCGAGGAGAAGAGCCCCGCGAAGCTGGCTGTCGAGGAATTCCTGACGGGCAGCAGAGTTCACGACATCATGAAGTTTGTGAGCTCCAACCCGTACGACGGTGCCCTGAACTTGTCAGCGAACTACCAGGCTGTGATGCGGTTGGCCATGCACAAGCTGAATCAGCAAAAGGACGACACTTGGCGCTTTCCTGATGTATTCAACCTCTTGCTGCCTTTGGTGTACAACAACTTCAGCGTCAGCCTCATCACCGCCGGGACGCTCACCATCAAATACTTCCACGATGCGGGGGACATTGACTCCGAGATCGCGGATATATCCTGCGGGCTTTTCGAGAATCTGACAACCTTGGAAAGAGCAATTTCCTTCAGGTCGCGCTGGGTCTTGGACGGCGTGAAGTATTTGACGACGGGGGAGCATAAGGTCACTCGCCTGAGCGCGGATGCATTCTTCGAGGCCCTCAACGCCAAGGGTGGCAAGCTGCTGAACGACCTCGGGGCTGCGGATGCACTGTGCAAGACCCTCCACAAGTTTCAGGCTTTCTGGAACAAGGTCGCGTGCGCTTCGGAAGAGCGCAGCACGCGGGACCAGTGGGACATCGACATCAACAAGCAGCTGAACATGCTTGCGCCGTCGTTCCTTGAGAGTCAATCGGTAGGAGCTCAGCAGGCAGCTCCTCAGGGGGAGACGGCGCCGCCTGCGCCGCCAGCCCCAGCCGCGGCGGCAGAGGAGCCGAGGGGGGCAGAGGATACGCAGGGAGAGCCGGAAGGGGGCGATGCGGCGGCTGCTGTCCCGAAGGAGGAGCAGATCAATAGCAAGTTCACGTCTATCATGAGCGCGCGTTCAGTCTACAAGGGCCCAGGCGATGTCACTATGTGTGATCAGTTGTTGTACGCCTTCAGCAACCGCGTCCACTCCTTCATCATCGAAATGGCATGCAACGGCCGCAGCCTCACTGAGAAGCACGAGGGAGGCATCGATGTTCCAGTATTCGAGGGCGATATGTGTTTGGGGACGGTGGGCAGCTACCTGGAAGGCCCGGAGCTGTTCTCGGAGGTCCCTATCGATGAGTGTTTGCGGCTTACCTTTACTGGCGATGTCGTTCGGGCCCCTCGCAAGGACGCGTTGCCCATCTGCGAGGTCTTCGGGATCACTTTCTACATCGTTCCGCCGACGGGCCCCCTGACGTGCGATTCCACCTGTCCTGCCTGGTCGGTCGCGCTGTTGAAGCCGAAGCCGAAGGCGAAAGGAAAGGCCAAGGCTAAGCCGAAGGCGCAGCAGGCGCAGCAGTCGCAGCAGTCGCAGCAGTCGCAGCAGTCGCAGCAGGCGCCGCCGCCCCAGCAGCTCGAGGATGACGTACCCAATATGAAGGTTGAGACCAGCAAGCACACGATTGAGTACGGCTGGAACCATTACAACACCATGCAGAAGATCGACGTGGAAGTGACGCTCTACCAGCTCGTCAAGGACACGTCGGCGCCGCCAGCCACGGCCACGCACGGCAACTACGCGAAGCTGACGCGCCCGCCCATCCCTGGCCAGTGCACGCAGGCGCCGAAGGTTGACAAGGGGAAGGGGAAGGGCAAGGGCGAGAAGGACAACACGTGGAACGCATGCAAACACTTGTTGCGCTGAAGGCTGAAGGCCTGGATGATCCACCTAGGCTGAGCTCGTATCCTGTGCAGCCTGTGCAGTAGTGTTCACGCGCTGGCGCGAGATCCTTCGCCTGGGCGACGGCATGCAGGGCTTGTTTTTTCCTCTGCTCTAGTTGTTCGGGGCGTCGGCGAGCAGCGAGCATGCGCTGCCGACGACCGTGTATACCACCGCACTTTCGCATGCCCGTCGCCCGTCACTTCGGCGGCAAGATCGCCCCACATCTGGCCTTGAGTGCGTGTCCGCCGGCGGGGTGTAGCCACTGGGCAGGTTTGGCCAGATGTGCGCGGTGCGAGTTTGGAGATCATTGATCTGAGATCATCGTAACATGTGGTGACAGCAGATAGTGTGGAAGCGTTCCTCCTTCCCCCCGCCTTCCTCCCCCCCTCCTTCCTGCCCCCTTCCCTCCCCTCCCCCCTCGTGCAGATTGTGGGGCCGTCCGACGGTTCCGAGAATCGGGCAGCCCACATCGAGATCGGCTTCGCCTCCTCCCCCCCCTCCTCCTCCCTCGTCCTCCTCCGCCGTTCCCCGCCCTCCGACCTCGCCCCTCTCGTCGTCCAGCTTTGGACCAATGAAATGAGTCGAAATGAGTCCGTTGGCTCCGAGAATCGAATTGGCGTCTCCGAGATCGGCTTCGCCGCTTCGCCTTCGCCTTGTCGTTCGTCATCCTCCTCCTCCTCCTCCTCCTCCTCCTCCTCCTCCTCCTCCTCCTCCTCCTCTTTCGTTCTCCTCCACCGTTCTCAGAATCGACGGCTCCGAGATCGGCTTCGTCGACGTCGTCGTCGTCGTCGTCGTCGTCGTCGTCGTCGTCGTCGTCGTCGTCGTCGTCGTCGTCGTCTGCTCGTCGTCGTCCACCCCCGGCGGCCGGCGGCGCCGCCCTGCCCCGCGGCCGCCCCCGCCGCGGCCCCGCCCCGCCGCCCCGCCGCCCCGCCGCAGGAGGAGGATGATAGGATTTGGGAGGGCGAAGTGAGGGGAGGATTAGGAAGATGAGGAGGGGGAGGGGGGGAGGGAGGGAAGGAGGGGGGGAGGTGGGGGATGGGGGTAGGAGGAAAAGGTGGAGGAAGAGGAAGGGAGAGAAAAATGAGGAGGAGGAGGGAGAAGGTTCGCCTAGTTAGGGGCAACAAAAAAACGTTCCCCTGCTAAAGGTCAGGCAGAACTTGACGGGATGTTTCAGGTCAAATTATTATTGGCCCCTTGTGTGTGGATCAGAAAATCAGGAAGATATCGGCGTTGTCGTCGTCGTGTTCCTCGTCCTCGGTCCTCTTCCTGCTCCTTCTGCTCCTCGCCGTCTCACCCCCTCCCCCTCCGCTCCTAGTGCCCCCACTGGCACCAGGGGGCGCCATTCGGAGGCGAGCGTCGCCGAAGGACCCTTCGGAACCCATCCTGCCCGAAGGCCAGCAGATCGACCTGGGACCAGCCAAACAACACAGATGGACATCCCCAGTATCCAATTAGCGCTGCTCCGCTAGAGTGCCTCGAGTCGCCTCTTGGGCCCCCCCAAGAGGCCAAAATCCTTCCAAAACCTAAGTAAAATCAATGTTTGTTGCTTTCTCGCCTTTTCGCTCTTGGACCCGTCTTGGGAGCCTCTTGGACTCTCTTGGGGGTCTCTTGGGGGTCTCTTGGCAACGTCTTGGAGGCTTCTTGGGGGCCTCTTGGGGTCTCTTGGGGCCCTCTTGAGGCGCTCTTGGGGCGCTCTTGGGAGCCTTCGGGGCGCTCTTTGGGCCATCTTGGAGGAGATCTATCAAAGAAGGGGGGGTTGCTTATTAGCCCCGGCCCTCCAGAGTGCCTCGAGTCGCCTCTTGGACCCCCCCAAGAGGCCAAAATCCTTCCAAAACCTAGGTAAAATCAATGTTTTGTGTTTTCTCGCCTTTTCGCTCTTGGAGCCGTCTTGGGTCATCTTGGACTCTCTTGGGGCCTCTTGGGGGTCTCTTGGCAACGTCTTGGAGGCTTCTTGGGGGCCTCTTGGGGTCTCTTGGGGCCCTCTTGAGGCGCTCTTGGGGCGCTCTTGGGAGCCTTCGGGGCGCTCTTTGGGCCATCTTGGAGGAGATCTATCAAAGAAGGGGGGTTTCTTATTAGCCCCGCCCCTCCAGAGTGCCTCGAGTCGCCTCTTGGGCCCCCCCAAGATGCCAAAATCCTTCCAAAACCTAGGTAAAATCAATGTTTTGTGTTTTCTCGCCTGTTCGCTCTTGGAGCTGTCTTGGGCCATCTTGGACGCTCTGACACCTCGCGACCGGCCCCGTCCAGGTCAGTGGGGAGGGGTAAGGGGAGGGGTAAACCCCTCCCCGAAGGGGAAGAAGGGGGTTGGCAGAGGAAACTCCCTAGACCACCTACGCCCTAAAGGGCTGGTGGGATTAAACACACTCCCCTGGCCGGACCAGCCGGGGCCGGGCCGGTGCCGGGCCGGGGCCGGGTCAGATCTGGCCTGCCCCAACACTCTTCAGGCGCAAGTCGGGCCCACTCACATCCCATGAAAATCGTCGCGTCGGCGTGATATTATTGAACATCGTCATTCTTCGATTATGCTACCACATATGAGTTTCCGATATTACTACGATTCCTAATCCTACTAGTATGTTGCTACTACTACTACTACTACTACTACTACTACTGCTACTGCTACTACTACTACTACTACTACTACTACTACTACTACTACTACTACTACTACTACTACTACTACTACTACTACTACTACTACTACTACTACTACTACTACTACTACTACTACTACTACTACTACTACTACTATACTGCTACTGCTACTACTACTACTACTACTACTACTACTACTACTACTACTACTACTACTACTACTACTACTACTACTACTACTACTACTACTACTACTACTACTACTACTACTACTACTACTACTACTACTACTACTACTACTACTACTACTACTACTACTACTACTACTACTACTACTACTACTACTACTACTACTACTACTACTA